AAGTGTATGTGAGTGGAGTGTGTGTGTGTGTGTGTGTGTGTGTGTTGCATCCTGTTTATTTTTATATAATATAATTAGGACCACAATGAAGTTGTGTAAGTGTGTGTGTGTGTGTGATGATAGTAGTAGCAGTAATAGCAGTAGTAGCAGTAGCAGGTTTTCATCAAAAAGTCCAAATAATAACCCAAATGATGTAAAAATCATGAGTTTAGAATACATGTATGAAAGTTGCTTATAGTAAACATAATTGTGTTCTATTTAAAATACATAGTTTATTTAAAATATATTAGATAATATAAGAAAAATAATTTGAAATATTAACAAAATGGCTAACATACACATTTGCTTTGCACCTGGCCCTGTTCTAAGCACTTCACATGTAGTGTTTAATCTAATTTTCACAGCAATCTTGTTTTTATTAATGTGAAAGTTGAAGCACTGACAGTGACTTGCCCAGGTCACACTGTTGCCTGGAGTATATCGAGAACTCACTCTGACAGTCTGACTTTAGATCTGTGTCTTCAGCCACCCTGCTTTTCAGACTCCCTCATGCTACTAAAACTCACCTATGATTGATGAGGAATAGCACTGCTAATGTTTCTTTGCATATTTTACAGGAATAAGATTTGTGACCTGGTTTTAAATGTAAAATCTCCCATGTCATTAATTATTGAATACTATTCCAAGAGTGTGAGAGATAATTAACAATTTTTTATCAATGCTCAGTATATTTATTTAGCTTTACCAGCTCCATTTAGGAAACTAATTCATATGATTCATGATTTAATGACTGGCTTGAAAAAATAGAAACCTCCACGACTATATTATACATGCTAATTACAGTCTTAATCACTGTTAGCAGTTTGTCTAGGTAATATCACCTAGGTAAATATACCTATAAGATACATAATGTGGTTTGCTGTATATGAATGCTTAAAAGCTTTTATTTCTATCTGTAGCAACAGTAGTTATAGCAGTGTGCTTACGTGCTTAAAGCTTTGGAATTGGAAAAACAGTCAGGATTTAAATCCCATTTTTACCACTTTCTAGAGGGTATATACTTAGACAAATTATTATTAGCCTCAGTATCTGTACAGTGGGTCTAATAATAATATTTACCTCATAGGAGTGGTATGTGAGGATTATACAAGATAATTTGTCCTTTTTTTACATAAATATTTATTGAATCCTATTCTGTGCAAAGCACTGTCTAAGACTAATAAATAGAAGAATAAATAAAAATTAGTTCCAGATCTCATGAAGTTTATATGTTACTGGGATTTGAGAGCTAATAAACAAATGAACATTTAATATTATATAGATAATGCATATAAAATATTTTGTTTAGTGACTACCATGTGAAAATTGCAAAATTTCATTGTTGCAAAAAATAATAATTATTATGTTTTATTCAAATATAAAGTCTCTATGTGCTTGGAAACAAATGTGATAATGACAAAATAAAGTGATAAAAAAAAATCCAATGATATTCAGCTTCTACCTTGCAAAATATTTCAAATTCTTTTTAGAATGCCAATTTCTTAGGATTTACATATTCAACAAATTTCTTTCCTTTGTTTTATGAAGATAAAACAGAGGCTCCTAAACAGAGTTGGTCTCCACTTAAACTGTTTCCTGACAAGCACTTGCATGCTGAAGTTTTGGTCTGCCTGCTCTACTTGAAAACACTGTTGATGACATTGAAAAATCATTAATGAAGCTCCCCTCCCCAGGCCCATCAGCAATTTACATTTCATAAATGAAATCGACAGCCTGGAAAAGTCAGTGCTGTGTATGAAATGGCAGGCCGTCTGGCTCAACAGCTCAGTATGGGGACCTCTTGATTCCATATTTCTGCAATGCTTTTATGTGGAGCCCAAAATAAAGGGCTCCAATGGCAAATGTTTACAGAAACTAGATGTTTTATTATTTACAACACTAAACTGTTGTAGAAAAAAAAATAAATAGTAAAGATGAAGTGAAAAATAAAAGCTCCCCTTCCCTCTCTCTGACTTGTAGGACCAATCGCAAGCATTAACCACTGATTTTAGTTTCCCAAAGTGTCTCATTGCAACCTTTTAACTAAACTTTAAAAATACTTATGTAACATATTTATATTGTAATTATTTTTAAATGACCCAAAACAGGTCCTAGTTAGGAATTGAATTCTTCTATGACTCAAAATTAAAGACTTTACTATCAATAGAAATGCCATCTACAAAATGAGATAACCAAGTAGTCTAATGAAAAAGCAGCTCACCTTAGAAAATCTGTTGCTGATATCTCCCATAGCAATTCCTGCCTTACCAATTCAATGGTAAAGTTCCAATTCTGTTTTTAAAAAAGAAAATTACATTGAAAGATTATGTAATTTGAGTTTATGAGCATAATTTAAAAATAGCTAAGCTCTTTACATACATCACTGATAACTCTCATATCAATTTTACATTATTCTCTTGACTTTAGTAATGATAAAACAGAGACTAGAGGTTTTAAGAAATGCCCAAGGACACAAAGTAAGCAAGTTTGTTTTGAAATCAGATTATGTGACCCTGAAGTCTACTCTTCACACTCTGAAATAACTTGTCCGGAGTTCATCTTGTCAGCGTTGTTTATATAATACTATAAGCCAGTAGTTCTGTTCTAGTAAGAGGGCCCACAGCCAGATGCATGTTGGATAGTGCATATTCATAAATGTGATTATAAAATTCTGTGTACAGGATGAAGTTGGTTCTTGTTGTTTTGTACTAATAGCTGATAAAACTATTCCCTACGACAAACACTGAGGCTAAAGTGACTTCATTTCAATGTTGCAATGACAATGTGATTGACAAGGATGAGAGTCCTGTGCAGAGTGGGAAGCCAGGCTCTTTCAAATAGACACCACTACCTGATGAGCAAAATGCTAGTGAACTCAGAACTAGGAGGGAAAGACTTAAATTTGTGGGAATTTGTTTCTGAGAAATTCAACTATTTAAACCAACCAAATTTCACAAACTGAGAACTAAGGAGACCAGGGTTATGCTATCCAGACCTTGATATGTGACCCCTGGTGGGATGGAACAGAATGGGAAGATGGAGTCCTGGTTCTGCCACATGGCAGCTGATGAGCTCTAGCAAATTACTTAACTCTTATAAACCTCAATTGCTTCATCTTCAAAATGGGGATAAAATAACTTACTTCATAGAATAATAGAATAATAGAAGTAAACAATTGACCAGTACTTGTGCCATAATAAGTACTCCAGAAACATTAATTCTCATTACTACTTTTGCTAATTTGCTTGAAAGTTTAGATTATATGTTGGTTTAGCAGAAATTTGATAGGAAAGGAACTACAGAGGGGAAAAAAAGAGAATTGTTTCCTTTTTAATGAAACCAAAATCTTCAGAATTCACTTCCAAAAGATAAAATTGTTTTATTGCAAACTAAGGACTAACATATGATTTATCTTTAGCCTAAGCTGACTGAGATAAAGCATGTATCATCAGGAAAGGCAATAATTGAAGGAATCACTGAAATATTGGAAGCCACATTTGCTACTGTTAGACACAGAAAAAATCACTTACTTTTTACAAAGTTTCTAAAATAAAAAATAAATGTAAAAGCTATCTTCATTTCTTGAAGCACAAGATGAATCAATTTCCTCTAGGACTGCAGTACATAAGATAGAACATTCAGTTCATCTATATTTACCTTTTCCTTCACTCATTCATTCATTCAACAGTATTTACTGGTCATATACCACATGTCAGATAGCTGACCAAGTGCTGATATTTGAGTACTAAGCAAGTCATAATTTTTGTCCTAATCGACTTAAAATCTACAGAAGGATACAGACAATAAACAAAAATTATATAACAAGATTTCCTTTAATATAAGATACATAGAAACATAAAAATAGGATACATTCTACCCAGGTAAGAGAATGTATCAACTAACAAAGGAGGGTATGTGCCAAAGAATGTCAAACTGCAAGGCTACCACTGCAATCACTTTTTACAGCATATACTGCTCCTTTTACAGAACAGGTATTCAAGTATTATAGGAAGTAGTCTGTAAATGGCTATATAATTCTCTATTATATAAAATTTTGCAGTTAATGAGTTATTTTATTTATTATAACTATAGAAAGTGAGAAACTACTAGGCTAAAATCCAAATAAAGTTTACTATCACTATCTCTGATACATAGTGCATGCTCAGTAAGTATTCCAACTATGAGGTTAGTTTTCTACTGTTTGAAGCGGGGAAAACTGCAGTGGACCAGAACCTTTCCATTAATCAAAACAAGACTCTAAGGCAAGAGGGAAGAACTATAAAGCCGAGGCAAATTAGTTAAATAAAATAATGAGCTGAAAACATAAAAATACAGTTAACTTCCACATTAATGGTGCTATGAATATAACTGGAATAGTTTAAAAAACTATGAAATTATTCTATACTGATACTAAGTTAGAATACAGAGTTTCTGGACAAAAGACAGTGTCCTAGGACAAGAAGAGAACAAAATACTTTATTTCACTGATTTTTATATTACTATACTGAATTTTAGCCAATTTAATTTATTTTATAAAATTAATAATAGAAATACTAATGAAAGAATAATAATCATATCATTTTGAAATTATTAAATTAGCCACCAGGTGGAGCTCCATGAATTAAGTGTACAGTAGTCAAAAGTAGAAAATTGCTTAAATTGGTCAAATTAGGAAAATTTTGACACTTTTTTCTGAGTAGTTTTTATTAATTTTCTTATTTACAATATTTAGAGAACTCTTATAAATCATAAGAGATTGGTTCTTATTAAAGACAAGATGCCAAATTACTTGATTAATATGAAACTTTTTAGCAAACTGGATTTTAAAATTGAAGTATGTTTGCCAGATTAAAAAAAAATCTATGAATCCTGCCTATTAATCCACTTGGTACTGATTATTTTTCAAATGCTTATTGTTTCTCTCTGTTTGTTTGTATGTGTATATGTATATTTCACCCTAGAACCTGAAACTAAAAAAGATGAAAAGATGTCCAAACCAGGTAAGGACACTTTGTAAAATTTACATATTAAATATATGTTCTTTGATTAGAAAAAGGCCAGTTTTACAGTCACAGTTAAGTAAAGCTTTGAGACACACAAAACATGGAAAAAAATTGATGCAACCTCCCCATATATTTTTAAGACAACAAGCACTAAAATTAAATGTATGCTAAGATTAAAACAGATTCCATGTTTTCTGGTAGCAGATTTTGGATAAGTTTAACAAAGTGCTGGAACCACTAGAATATACTGCTCTTTGTTTATTTATTGGGCAATTGAACAGTGTTTACAAAATGCTAAGGGGGCAACTTGAGTTTTAGACACTCCAGCCAGAGTGTGGCAAATGCCTAAAACTTATCCTTATCATCAGTTAAGCCTATGAACCTACATTCACCTACAATCAACCATTTTTATGTCAAGAAATGGAGTTTCATGTGTTTCCCCCTAATATATTCAACACTTTTTAAACCACAATTACATATACAACTATTATTTAGAAAGATAATCCATTGCTTTATTGGCCATTAAGTTGAAAATTGGTATACTTTTAAAATAGACTTTCTAAAAACAGATTTTGCAAAGGAGGATGTCAAGAGATTAGCTGGGTACTCAAGGCAAGTGATGAAGGCTGGGAGAAGAAACATCATAGAATAGGGGAAAATGCAGGAGACAATACAGTTTGAGAAAAGTTTCAGTTCCATACAATCTTTCTATGGCTAACCCTCTTCAATTATTTTATATTACATAAAAGAGATTTATATATTTATATCTATATAAAAGAAGGTTAAATCTATATCTATATCTCTCAGTAAGTGAAAGTATGAATGTAGACATTCATACTATTAGACTTTAAGTGATTGTAATTCACTTTTCCATACATATGCTAAATAATAGTCTGACTTATTAATGCCACTTCTCTTAAAAGTACTGTCAACATGAAAAGATTTAAGTCATTTTCTTATTTTTGGTGAATGAACAAATCCATTTTAAGTGATTTTATACAATCTTAAAGCATGCATTCTTTGGAAGATCAATAAAGATATCAGCAATTTTAAATTGTAGAAAAATACATAATAAAGATAAAATGATATACTGAGTGTTTACATTAAAAGTTATTGAACTCTAAATATATCTGCAGAAAACGAAAATTGTATATAAAAATTGCTCTATTATTGTTAGCACTCTTACTAGTATTAATTTACAAGTTACTAAGACTAGGAAGGGTGTTTAGTAACTAATTTACTAGCTTACTAGTGTTATTTTTCTAGTTTACAAACAAGTGGTAAGATGTTGGTTTCATCCCAAAGAGTATAATTGAGGACATAGATATGAACTATTAAAAGATGTCTACAAGGAAATTATATTAGTGAAACATGACCTAGGAGGCTAGAAAAAGGAGCCATTCCTGTGTGTAGTCTGTAGCAGTCAGTGAAAACTTCATGGAGAAAATGTTTTTAAGCTGGAATATACAGTAGATTCTTTTGGAGGTCAGGGGGACTGACCCTTCACAGAGTAAGACAATCCATCTATAACTATTAATTCCTCCAAAACTTAACTACTAATATCATAATGTTGACTGGAAGCTTTATCAATAACATAAACTGTCAACACATATTTTGTATGTTGTATGTACTATATACTGTATTCTCACAAAAGTAAGTTAGAGCAAAGAAAATATTATTTCAAAATCATAAGGAAGAGAAAACATATTTACTAACAATTAAGTGGAAGTATATCATAATAAAGGTCTCCATCCTTCTTTTCTCATGTTGAGTAGGCTGAAGAGAAGGAGGAGTAGGAGGAGGAAGGAAGAGTAGGGTTTTTCTTACCATCTCAGGGGTGGCAGGGACAGAAGAGGTGGAGTAGGCGGAAGGGGAGTCAGGAGAGGCAGGCACACTTGGTGTGACTTTATGAAAATACACTGTAATTTCTAACTCTTGTGCTTTTTTATTTCCCTAAAAATGTTTGTATATAGTACCAATACTTCTTCCACCATTTGCTTTAGTTTCAGAGCCCATATCATAGAATGGTCCATATTGTAAAAGAAATCAAAAACAGCCTTGAACAATCAAACTCTTCTGCCAGATTCTCTAATATCAATTTGCTTTTGGGCACTGCTTCTTCTACATCTTCTTCCTCGCCACTGTCACCTAGAACTGGTTTGAAAGCATTCATCTCTATCAAATAATCGTCTGTTAATTTCTCTGATGTGGTACCTATTAGCACTTGAATTTTCCAAGATCCATATCTTGAAGCTCTTCACTTCCCACCGTTTTTGTTGTTGTTGTTGTTGTTGTTTTGGTTTTTTGCCATATCCACAATCCATTTTGTGATTTCTTCAATTGGCTCTATCAAAAAATGTGTGAAGTCATGCAAAACATCTGGACACAGTTTTCTGCAGCAGAAATTTAATGTGTCAAGCTTGATGGTTTTCACATTTTTTTCTATAACAACTATGACATCTTCAGTGATGTAATCATTGGTAGAGAGAATTTTATGATGTTCTATCTATCAAGTTGTTCTTCCATAGCATTGACAGTCCTTTCCATAGAATACTCTGTGAAATTAGCCTTAAAGGGCCTACAACCCCCTGGTATAGAGGGTGAATAAGAGAGAAATTATGTTTGGGGGCACGTAGATAACTTTGATGCCTTCCATGTTGAACTCATGGAATTATGAGGACCTAGGCCAGGGGCATTGTCCAATATCAAAATAACTTTAAAAGACAGTCCTTGGAAAGGTACTTCCTGACTTCAGGGAAAAACATAGATGGAACCGATCCAGAATAAGGGTTCTCATTGTGCAGGTCTTCTTCTTACACAACCAAAAGACGGGCAGCTGTTACTTATCTTTTCCTTTCAGGCACTGGGGGTCAGCAGTTTTATGAATAAGGGCAGTCCTGATCATAAATCTGATTGCATTTGAACAAAACAATAGAGTTAGCTTATCTGTTCTTGTCTTAAATTCTGATGCTCATTTTTCCTCTTTATTAATAAATATCCTTTGTGGCATTTTTTTCCCCAAGAATAGGGCATTTTTATTTGCATTAAAAACCTGTTCAGGCAGATATCCATTCTCCTTAATGATTTTCTTAATGGCATCTGAGGACTTGTCTGCTGCCTCTTCCTGGTCAGTAGAACCTGATTCTCCTATTATCTGAACATTTTAAAAGCCAAATCTCTTTCTAAAATTATCAAACCATCTTTTGCTGGCATTAAATTCTTCAGCTTTAGATCCTTCTCCTTCCTTTTGCTTTAAGTTGTCATATAATGATTTCACTTTTTCTTGAATCATATTAGAGTTTATAGGTATGTCTTTATGTATGTATGTATGTATTTATTTAGAGACAGTGTCTTACTCTGTCATCCCAGCTAGAGTGTAGTGGCATCATCATAACTCATTGCAACCTCAGACTCCTGGGCTCATGTAAACCTCCTGCCTAAGCCTCCAAAGTAGCTGGGACTATAGGCATGCACCACCACAGCTGGCTAATTTTTTCTATTTTTGGTAGAGACTGAGTCTTTCTCTTGCTCAGACTGGTCTTGAATTCCTGACACCAAATGATCTTCCCACTTCAGCCAGCCTCCCAGAGTGCTAGGATTCTAGGCGTGAGCCATCACCCCTGGTCGGTATGCCTTTATTATAGCAATCCTGCACCCACATAAAAGCTACATTTTCAATGTGAGATAAAAAGGTATTTTTCAAAAAGTCCAAGGTTTCAACTCCTTCTGGGATAGCTGAAATGATGGTTTCATGAATTTCCTTTTTTTTTTTTTATAATTATCTTTATGGTGGATTTATTTTTCTTAAAATGATGGTCAACCATAGATGCAGGTCTTAATCCATGCTACATATCAAGCAATTCAACTTTTTCTTACAATGTCATAAATTTGTTTGCTTCCTGGGAGCATTTCAGCAACATTAGTGGCACTCTTTATGGGTCTTATTCAAACTCTATTCCACTAAACATGATTTTATAAAAACGTGAGACTGTGGAAAGAACACTGTACAATGATACGCAATATACGCAATATATGGAGAGAGGAACTGCTCACCAGAAGATGATTAGTGTCACATGACATTTTAAATGGATAGCAATAGCACTTGAGCTCACCACAATAGCAACAGGACATGGCTACAGAATACTACAGTAGTATAGTATATACTACAGTTAATTATATGCAGTTTTGATTTAATATTGCGTTTTTATATTTTTCTACACTTCTCTAGACTCTGAATGGTGCCATATTTGGTCTAGAAGTGTTTGTGTGCAGAACTTTGATAAATTTTAACTTTTTATAATTGATTTGTGTAGTCTATATTTTCTGATAGTAAATGATAAAATAGGCTACAATCTATATGCATTTTATGCATTTATGACAAAGGCAATGCAGTTCATCTGTAAGTTTTTTCAAATTGTTGTAAATGTCCAAAAATTTTTTCAACATATTTATTGGGGGAACACATGCATAATTAAACCCATGCAGTTCAAATCCTTGTTGTTCAAGGGTCAACTCTATAAAAGTAGCTGGGATACAGACAGTGTTGGAGTTATACTTGGAGTTATACTAGGAGTTATACTTGGAGTTATACTAGGAAGACATGAATTTAATTCTCTTTGGCACTTGCTACAGGTATGAGTTGACTTAGATAACTTAATGTTTCTGAGCAGCAATTTCCTTAACTATTCAATGAAAGTCATCATATTTACCCAGCGGGTAGAAGTGATTTTGCCTATTGGTTCAGCTTCAATAAATGGTAACGCTATTTAGGAGGTCGTCCAGAGGCAGGGATAAGCACAACATAGTGTGAGAGACGTGAGGAGAGGACCAAGGACCTAAGGAGATTCCAAGATCCGTATGACCAGCAGAAGATGATAAAACTTCAGTAGTGGGCTGCAACCATGTCAGAGATTCTTGAAACCCAGCAATGGAGGTTAGGAGGCCAAAGTGAAATTTAGATTCTTAAGGACATGAATCAAGGAAAGTGGGATTGTCGG